AAATATAATTATATCCCCAGTTTTGCATCTGTATTAATAAAATTTTTTGTCTGCATTTTTTCAGCTTATGATAGTTTTAATGTTTCTCTGGTATTTTTAACTTCTTTTTTTTTTTGGGACAAATAAAAGCCTTTATGATATAACAAGTTTCCCTTTTATTTCTTTATTTTGTGTTTTTCTTTTATTTTTATTTATTATTTTCTCATGTTTAGTCTCATTTGCAGGAAAATATCTTTACTTCGTTTTATATTTCCTACCACATAAATGTAAGTACTGATTGATATGGGATGTTTGAGATGGACTAAATAAGAGATTTCTTGTTCACATACACCATCAAAAGTATATTTTTTCTATTTCATTCAGATATTTAGCTGGATTCCAAATAAATGTCTTGATGATGTGAATATTCAAATACTCACCTGAAACTTTGGGTACAGGTCCTTGTTGTTGGCCATCATGTCCCGAACGTAGGCGATTGATGATGAGACACGTTTCCACACAATGTACTCAGTCTCAGCTTCCAGGTATTTAGTGAGATTGAAGGCATTACCGTAATCTATAATATCAGCCCTTAAAAACAAACCAAAATTATAGCATTTAGATTTTTTTTTCTTAATACTGTTGAGTCTTTTCTCCGTTTTCCTTGTTTTTCCAACCTTGCCAGGGCAAAAACATCATCGATGAAGCTTGCTCGGTCAGCTGCATCAAACTCCTGGTTAGGGAATAAAACCATTTGATTTGTGTAAGTGAATATAACCTTTAATTTGAAAAGATAAAGTTGAGATCTAGGGAGCGACGTACCGTGTGGTTTGTCATGAGCAGCTGGCTGATAGAGGTCCACATATGGTCTTCATGGTTGACTCTGTAGAATCCAATGTGGTCGTTATTTATCTTTAGCAGTCCATCTTCAGAGGCCGAATAATTACTGATGACGTGTTCTGAAAAAGAAAACATTTACAGTGATACGTTTCTGAGCTTAAAAAACAGAAGAAAAAAAAACATCCACATATTTTTATCTGGAATTCTTTAAATCAGGTTAATTTTAAGTTGTTTTTTTTATATTTACTGAAAGTAAAAAATGAAACTATAAACTAACAACTGGAAGTCCATTTGATCCATTAGGCTTAATTGGCAGCAAAGTTCCTTTCATATTGAACTAAACTACTATATCCCAAAAAGATGTATAGCACTTTAACACACTGAGATGTTTTTCCATAAACGTTTGCGTTTAGGGTCAAAATCCTGATGGAAGTTGGATCGGCTGATCTCTGCAAGAGTTCATTCACGCAGCATCCAACATGTCCTTCAATCCTGATGCTTTTCTAAACTTCTCATTTTGGCATTAAATGTCCTATGATACATTTCTCATGACCACAGTTGAGAGTTAGAGAATCGATGGGCCAATAAATCCAAGTCTTTTCCTTTTGGTTCAGTGCTTTTTTTTCAGTGCTTTCAGATGAAGCCGATCACCATCACTTAGAAGCAAAACCTTGAAACCAGAACTCCTCAGCTTAAGTGTGCATTCCATGTATAGTCATTGTAAAATTTATAAACCATAGTGTTCTATAATCGTAAATTGAATTATATGAGATGAGATCAAGAAGGTTTCAGGTGGAGGACTGAAATCTAGACATCATTCTCTTTACCAACACTCCCTGGACCACAATGAATATCTGATCTTTCCAGAGAGTGTTTGGTGTCCTCCCACTCAGGACACTTATGAAATACATAAAAGGCATTTAGACTTTTGCTGTTTTTTCCAAAAGTATATCTCTCCAGAGTGGGCTCTGAGTGCTCTCTTTAGCTAATTGGATCCAGGATCTCCTTTCCTTTGTTGATTGCAATCTCATAAGCAAATATGCAGGTTAGGACACAGATGAAGCCCAAAATCCAGACCTTTACCTTTAACACTCAGCTTCTTTTTAACCACAACACAAGTCCCATAGGCAGATGCAGCTTTGAACCTTTTTTTTGTCCTTTTCCCATTAAGAAACAGAGAAATCTGTAAGGCTTTAACTTTGAAGAAAAAATATAAAATATGTAAAATATAAAGTAGATTTACAGACTACAAAGCACCCTGCAGTCATCATTTCATACATTTTGATTATTAATATGATTCTTTTATGATAAAAGGAGTTATTTGACAGAATGTGTTTCTAGAGCTCCTATGAGAATCCATTTATCATTATCACATGGAGCATTTAAAAAGACATATATTCTGGGGGTTTTTTGTCGAAAAAACACTATATTACACTACACTGTCATTTGTCACTCTCAGTGAAAAAGCTGCATGAAGAGACATTTCATGATTTTGAGCTTTAAGGTGAACCTTTCTAACAGTTTCAGGAAGTACCTGGAGTGCTCTTGTCAAACATCGTCTCCCCTTTCTTGTCACTTTTCACAGAGAACCATTTGACTGGAATCGTCCACTTGTATCTGAAACCAAAACACGTTCATGGTAAATAATAATGATAATTATGACATTTTGTATGTTTTCAACTGTAAGGATCCCAGTGGTACACGCACTGAAAAGGTGATGCGGGCTGGCTGGGGTCAGCCAAGGGGTCCAGGAGGAAACGCTTCTGGGTCAGTTTGGTGTTTGTCTCTGAAACGGTGAGATCTACGACAGGGTAGCCCATCTGTTTGGTCCATGTGTCCATAACTTCTGCAACGGGTAACTTGCTTACCTGAACACAGAGAGCATCTTCCGCTTAGATAGTTAATTATTTGACTTTAAAATTAGGCCTTCAAATAGTTTTAACTTGAGTAACCGTGACATATTGTGCATGATCTTATAAAGTATCAGTCCTGAAAATACTGCTCAACACATTATATGCGCTGCTGGATTGAGTTGTAATGTCCTGTGGTATCAAGTGCTGCATTATGTTTTATATGTAGATACTTTGCATAAAGCTGCCCTGGTTCTGTCATGAGAACAACTTTCAAACGTACATTGGCCATTGATGTCCAGAAGTTGGCTGTTTTGGCGTTTTTGAAATAGAAGTCCTTTAAATATTTCTGTTGAAAGACAAAAGGAGAAAAGAGACAATTGTAAGTGTAGTTGTGCATTTCTGATGTCTATTCAGATGGTTACTGGTGATGGCTCACTCACCCGGCAGCCATCTCTGAATACATCCCTTCCTATCCAGTCCTCCAGCATGCGGAGAATAGAAGCTCCCTGTAATTAGGGTTAACAGTCGGGTTAATAAACATATTTTATTTTTGGATATAACACTATATATTTTTAAATATGGATAGAACAGGGATCAATCCAGGGTTGAAAATATTCAGATATCTGGAATCAATACTAAGAGGAGAGATACATTTTTTTTCAAAGTCTTGCGGATCTGTTGATATTTTAGACTATGGTAGCCTGAAAACTACGGAAATTATAATATTTTTATGTTTTAAGAAAAAAAAATTGTGAGAAGGAACAATTTTTAAACATGACTACAGAGATTATTTCTGTTTATTTAAATCCCCCACCTTCTGTCTTATCACAACCCCATTTATTTAGAAGAAGGGAAATAATATTGCAGAAAATCTGAAAAGTGTGGCAAAGCTAATTAGACTTTTTTTTTATTATTTATCGACCCGAAGCTTTCACCTTGCTGTAGGAGATGGCATCAAAGACAGAGGTGATTTCTGCAGGGCTCGATACATCTACGATGATTGGATGAGAGGAAAGGAGGGCGTCGTCCACCATGACAGGAAGCACGTCGTCAGTGATCATAATGTCTCTCTGCAAAAGGAGACTTCTTAGGACGAAATCCAAAAGGATCAAGAATTCTGTGGAGACCTGATAAACTCACCATGCCCCAGGTCGGCTCGGCCTTCTCCACACCGATGTACTCGAAGAAACTTGCAAAGCCCTCATTGAGCCAGAGGTCATCCCACCAATCCATGGTGACAATGTTTCCAAACCACTGCAAGACAAAATTGGCATGAGGGTCTGTTCATATTCATCATTAATCTGATTCAAACTAAGATTTGTTATATCTGGTTATTAAAATGATAATTATTCCTAATGCAAATGGCAACAAACAAGAAAGACAAGTGATTCTGGATGCTGCAGATCGTCGTGCTCAAAATTGATACAGAAACTGAACCTGCAATCTGTTTCAGGTTTTATAGATTGCATAGCAGGTAGTAAGTAATTATCCCTATGACAAGCATATGTTCTGCATATGCATTAAGGCAAACAGTTTTTGCACCTGCTTTTCCACTCATTTTAGGGCTTAAACCCCATGTGAAGCTTCAGTAGATTAGCTTTGCATGATGAATGCAAACCTTTAGAAGATTGGAGGCTTTGTGCTCACTTTAGAGTCATGCACGGTCAGGTTCCAGCCTTTATTTCAGGCCTAGAGCCTGACATCTCCTCCCTCAGAGTGAACCCAGTTAAAATGGTTCCTCAGACATGTTTCAAATGCCCAGGGAATAATTCCACTACAGCTGTGTTTCCCAAATAATGGGGGATCTCTTGATCTCTAGACTATTTTTTTACTAGTTTAAGCTGTATTATGTTATAAATATGCTATTTCATATTTTCTTTTATGTTTTTATCTTCCTCGTTTTTTATGCTCATATTAATGCAAATCAATTTGTGGTTTTTGATTATAATGTTTTTTATAAATGCAGCTCACAGTAACTACTTACCAGTCATTATCTAAGAAATATTAAGATGTATAATTAAATGTATGAAAAGAAAGAATGTGTTTTTTTATTACTTTAACTGACAGAATAATTACAACAAACATAATTTTTTTTATTTATGTTATTTATTTATTTATTGTCTTGTTTTTGTATCTCCTAATTATTATTTATCTAAATTTCAAGTTTTATCTACCCATTGATTAAATCTTTTATTTCAATTATTTCAGATGTCTAATTGCCGTTACATATCGATTTTGTAAACCTATTTCCTTTTTCTATTTAGATCAATGTTAATATCAACATTAAAAGTTTGTTGTAAATTTAATCGGAACAGTTTATGTAACTGTATACTTATAAGCATCTGCAAATGTAATCTTTTTTTGTTTGTGTTTGTTTTAGACAACCAATATATAATGCTTGCTCCTAATTTATTGTATATGATTATATGATTCAGATTTGATTAAAGCTATATTTTTTTCATTTATCTTGGCTTTTTTTTTTCCTGAATAGAATCATATTGATGTTTAATGTGGCATGGTTTACTTTGTAAAACAATTTGGAAAAGGTATCTATATTCATGTTTATCTTTACTTCATTTTCTACGTTTAGTCCTAAATTTAATACATTTATGTATTTGTTTTAAAGTGTTATATTTGTAATAATGCTTACACTTAAATATCTAACAAATAATATTATTACATTTCAATTGAGTCCCAGTTGCAAATCCACCCATCCATGGATCAGTTGAAGAGAAGATTCTAGCTGCTAAAAAACTACAGTTAAATCTAACTCCTTTTAAATCTATCCTTTTTAAATCTGCATTGTGATGAGAAAATTAGTTATTGTGTTGTGTTTTTTTTTTTAACACCAGGAATCTGCTTCGCCATGTATTTGTGTGCCCATGATTATTTTTTGCACTCAAAAGGTTTAAGGTTCACTACACAGTTAACTTGGATCAGCTTTACCACAAATTCATAAGCAACCAGGAACGATCTGTTTCAGGTCATAAAAATTTAAAGACAGTCAGCATTCTTCTTATCTTTGACATGTGGAAAACAAATGGTCATTATGCTTAATAAAAATCTTAAATGAAACAACTTTTAATGATTGACAGGAAAAATCTGTCATCTGGTTTCTTTGCAATAAAGATAAAAAGACATTTACTTATAAACTAACTTATCTACCATCTGAGGCTTAAAAGTTCAAACTTGAATTTTCAACAAGAAGCAAAAGAAATAAAATGAACTTAAATCTCTTTATCCATAAAATGTTCAATACCATCTTTTTGCAAACAAAATCTAGGTCCTTTTAACACCAAAAAGATCTCAAAAAATGTCTCTAAAACTAGTCTAACTATAGAAGGTAAAGATTATATATTCTGTTACCTGGTGAACCAGTTCATGGGCGATAACGCTCGCCACGCGCTGCTTGTTGCTGGAGGAAGACTCTTTCTCGTCGTACAGCAGGTTGGTCTCCCTGTAGGTAATGAGCCCCCAGTTCTCCATAGCACCAGTACCGAAGTCGGGGATGGCGATCTTATCTGGATCAGAACAGCACAGAAAAACTTCTGAGGTGACTGTATATAGTGAGTTTTATTTCTTTGCTGCTTAATAAATTTGCACATTTAAGTATTCACAAGCTCTTCCTTGGAGACACTTTTTTCTCTTAATAGATCGAAACCAAATAAGTAGCGAATACAAAGAGGGAAGGGGGTGGTCTACCCCCTTTGTGGCCCTTTGTTGTTGAAAAGTGCATATTAAGGTGCCCTCTTGGTGGCCAAAACACGTGCCAAACTGCTCCCTTGGGAATAATAACACGTGCTGAAGTGCGTCCTTAGAAGCCAAAATAAGTGCTAAAATGCCCTCTTGGGAGCCAAAGCACGTGCTAAACTCCTCCCTTGGGGGCATAAGATGGCTAAAGTGCCCCCTTGGGAGCCAAAACATATGACAAAGTGTCCCCTTGAGAGCCAAAATAAGTGCTAAAATGGCCTCTTGGGAGATAAAAACATGTGCTAATCTGCCCTTAAATGTCCTCTCAGAAGTCAAAGCATGTGCGAAACTGCTCCATTGGGGTCTAAAACTTATGCTAAGATGCCCCCTTTGGAGCTAAAATGTGTTAAAGTGTCCTCTCGGGAGCCAAAACAGGTGCTTAAGTACTCCTACAGTGGTGAGCAATATGTCCCCTTTATTTTTCTTTCAGCACCTGCCCTTTTGAAAGGCCTTTGTATGCCACTGGAAGAGATAATGTATTGCATAAAACTTATGTCAGGAGATAAAATATTATCCTCTTTTTATGATGGAAACAAACAATTTATACATAACATGACTGATAAATAGTAAAGCCTTAAATTAGGACATAAATAATAGTTTGAGTAACTTAGTGCTCGCAATCTTACATATATAATATCTAAGATGTTAGGAAAATCTGAGGGGTTTTAATCAAGTTAAATTAAAATCAAAACATTCAAGGAAATATTTAATGGAATTGGATTTAAACCTTACTGTGGTATAATTGAAAGGAGATAGATCTCAATTACATTAAGTAAAATCATTAATGGGAAATATATTTTTTTCTTAGGTTAGATAAAACTGAATTTAAGTTATCCAGTGAAAATTATAATATATTATATGTTATTGTATTTAATTACATTATTAAATCTGGGCAGATTATGCTGCAATTAAGTGTTTCTCATTATTAGTGGACTAAAGTGGACTTTTTGATGACTTTTTGGTGTTGGTTTTGAAGCATACCCAGTTTGGAGATGGAATATGACATGTTGAAGTATTCCTCAAAGTAGTCAAATATTATCTTTGTTGTGTCTGCTGCATATTCTGCAGTCGCTAATTGGCTGGGCTGGGCATAGATCCTCAACTGCAACAGAAAACATCCCAATAATTACTGAAAGTACATAAGAAACACTTTTTATAGATTCAGTATAAAAAATAATTTTGACATTTGAATCAGATTTAAGAAAACTTACAGGAATGTTACTGGCAGATGTTCTCTCCACGAAACCAAACTGGTGGACGGCAAAACAAACGAGGTAGGTGCTCATTGGAATGGATTTCTGGAAGGTTGTTTTTAGTTTATTGCCGGGCAGTACCTCGGAAGGACCCTGGAAAGTCAAAGCAAATGCTAAATGTTTAATCTAATTAGTTGTTGATCATGTTGATTTATTTTTTATTTTTGTACTGATGAAAATAAAAGGAAAAAATAAAGGAAAAACATGCATTCCACCTTTAGTATTCAGAGCACCAAACCTTGCTCTGACTAAACAATGGAGACATTTGTGTGTTTGTTCTCCCTAAACCAAAGTAAACAATAAACTCTTTGGAGTTTTGGATTTAAATATAAAATCAAAACTACTGTTCATGAGTTGACTAGAAGTTCATCTTTGGTTAGTGCTTAATGGATTTAATGCAGCTTTAATGAGGTAAATATGTGCTTTGCTTTTCCAAAGTCCCATATTTCCTGGACTGTGATTAGGATACACATTACAGACCAGCCCATAAAGCAGTTGTAGAGCCAATAAGAGACCAATTATGGGCCTCCTCCACTCTGTTTTCAAGCTCATCCCAAACTGGTTGACTCATATATACTATAACTGAGGGGAAAAGGACTAACAGTGAATTCTTTACCTAAAGGACATGACGTCCAAGAAATGTTTCATTTTTTACGATGTTAATGTTTCTGATGAAACTTAGTATTTCTTAAATAATGCTAGAAAGAATCTATTTTTGGTTTTCAGAGTCTGTCCCACCCATAGCACCACACTTTTATTAATGTCAAACATTACTGCTTTCCTTCCTACCTCTGGTGGCATGTTGGAAAGAGCACCATATTTATCGTCATGAGTGATGGAGACTTTATAGGTGGCTTTCTTGTTTGGTTCGTCAAAGCAGGGGAAGGACTTCCGAGCATCTGTTGGCTCGTGATCAGTTGCAGCAATTTTTCTGGTAAAAAAAAAAGAGGGGTTTATATCTCCCAATGGCGCTCTATTACCGGTATATGCCAAATTAACTTGTTATTTCTTAAGTCCTTTTTTCCGTTTTTACCCTCTATATAACAAACTTCATAGCACAGGTTTAGGAGATAAAATGATAAGCAGTCAAACCAGTATTCTAGATCTGGATGGAAACAGAAACAGCTATATAAAAACATTTGGAAGAGCTTGGAGATGTATTGACAGAGACCCCTATAAAAGATTAGAGATTAGTGTAGCTAATCATCACACTTTGTTAATATAGAAGTCATTTAATGAGGCCTGTCTTGTGACAGAAAAGGTTTCTGTTGTTACAGGAGGCAGAAATGTTGTCTCTTACTTGGTCACTCCGTTCTCTGTGTAGATGACCCTATAGAATCCCACCACAGATCCGTTCAGCCAGCCCTGGAAGTCCAGACTGAGAATGTACACCTCTCCTGGGCCTGTGGCGGGCAGGTCCTCTGTGGCCTCCACCACCACATACTCCTCAGGTTTGTATTCAAAGCAGCGGTTGACCTTCACATCCCTCTGTGTCCCCTGGCTGTCCTCCATCCTTAGCCTGGGCATGGCACTCACAAAAGTCTCCCTGATGTGCAGCCATAAGTGACGGGTGGGTTTAGTGACCTCCACTTGGATATCCACCGTGCCTGTGTAGGTGTCGTCGACCATGTTTGGTTCCAGGTGAAGGTCATAGTGGGTCGGTTTCACGTAGTCGGGCAGACGGAAATTCGTCCAGTCTCCACTGGTTTCTGTTGAAGGCTTACAGGGCCCTCTGTCAGACGGAGGGGGCGGTGTAGGTCCAGCTGTGGGGGCTGCTGTGGGGGCTGCTGTGGAGTCTGTTGTGGAGGAGGTGGATTTGGAGAGGCCAACCCCCAAACCCACAGCCAAGGAGCAAATCACCACAACTGCACAGATGATGGCTGCATGTTTGCCTCGAATGCAGTAACGCTTATCCTTGTCCGATTCCAGGATGAAGCTGTCAGGCATGCTGACTCTGAAAAGCGCAAACTTTTGAAGGTAAACTGCTGTAAAGGAGACCTGGAATCAGAGCTTCTGCTGTGTTTGCTCTAGCTGTGCAACAGCTGAACCAGAGCCTGTCCCTGTGGTGCTGAGGGGAGGAGAGATGAAAGAGGAGGAGAAGTAAAAAGAGGCTCTCTTACAGTCAGTCAGAGATTTATTCGGCCCTACATGATGTTAACACGCCTCTTTTTGTTAAATATCGACAATCTGCCTGTAAATCAGCAACTAAGGCTGAACATTCTCTGCTGTTGGGCGACAGAAGCACAAAGAAGTAGAATTTGAAGTTTGAGACAGCATCATTGGGGGAGAGGAAATTTCAATCTGCCCACCTTGTTTTTGGGACACGAGTGCAGGCTGTTGCATGTTCTTTGTGGTCAATATAATAGGCAGCTGCAGAAAAGGGTGAACCCAGAGCAAAACAGTGACTGGACTGCTGAGTGGAATCAGCTTTTCAGAAATAATCAGCTTTTCCATGTTTTTGTGACCGAAGGATCTGGTTATAATAATTGCACGCTAGAATTCCCAAAACTAAACTAAAAAAAACAAAACAGATCCGTATCAATTCTGATGGATTTATATAGAAAAAAGCTGAGTCACTGTTTACTACAGTGAATCCCCTTTTTTCTGAGGAGCTGTGGGGAGAGTAAGTCCTCTGACCTAACATGGATTTGAATGGTGGCTTTCTCTGCGCTTTGTTTGTTGTGGATTATCCCTTTGTAAGTTCAGAAAAAAAAACAAAGAAGTATTTTAGTTCAGAATCTTTCAGAAAGTAAACTGTGAAAACGATATAATTTAATTTATACCTGTTTGAAAAAATCATAGAACCGTTTTTGTCAACAGTTAGGTTTCACAGCATTGCTTAATTAGCAGCAATAGTTGTGCTTCCATGCTTTTGTATTAACATTCATAATTACAGGCTGCTAATCTCCAATGTATACGTCTGACATACTAAAAACTGGTAAATTGGCCAGGTTTTGAAATAATTCTGATATTATTCAAGAATATATTTGACTAATATTGATGCAGGGACACTAAACAGAGACCCTGACTTACTAAAAAAAATCTACTTTTATAATTGTTAACTTTTTGAGAGCCAAAACCACTATCAAACCACCGTGGCCATAAGTAAGACAGTATAGACCTAATACCTAATACCCTTCTACACATAAATTCTGGTTTTACCGTAATTGTTGCTAAGAGTTATAAATGGAAATAAGACTTACATTGTAGGGGGAGTCATCTTGGCCAACTCTTTTTTTGCATTTATATTCTAATTAAGTTCAACCTAAAGGTGTTCTAAGATGAATGGGCTTTTTAAGGGCATGCTTAAACATTTTGACCAAGCCCCTTTAAAATGACATTTTTCTTTTATTTATGAGCCACTCAGAGGAGGTGCTTCTGTTGTTCTTTGGATTATTGTGGTGTTACACTGGTGTCTTATCAGGGTAATGACATGTCTAACTTAGGACAGTTAGGTTAAAAAAAAAAAACACACACATACACATTATCATCTTTTTAGATGTAGTGATGACGATGTGTTGACACCCATTGTACTTGAATTATAACCCTTTCTATACCCTAAGTGGCAATAACCTTAAACCCAACCATTAGCAGTGCATACCTAACCCTAACCCTAGCTTGAACTCAATTCACCTTTGCCCTAAAACTAACCGATTGAAACAAAAAAAGGAAAGTGAAGAGCAATAAAATGTGCACTCTTTGCTTCAAACTTTACTCAGTTTGATGGTGAAATTGGAGAAATGGTCCTCACTCTGATACCAAAACAGGAGCATCCCAACAACACGCAGAAACACCAAAAAAATTAGCGGTAGCTCACCTGATAAGATGAAAAGATTTAGTTTCAGAAGATAAGCTTTCCTTTCTAAACTGCTACTCAAGAATATCCTGATCAGACGTGATATAAACTCAGGTGGCAGAAAGGCATGAGGTTCGTGCACTGAAGTGGATTTTCATGGATGAAAAGAGATCTGACGTTCTTCCAAATCTTCACATATCTGAGTTTATTACATCTGGGGTCACACTGTTTTCTTCATATCTGTACTCTTGTTTGATCATAAACGTCACTTTTCCGTTTTACAGTCATATCTGACCCTGAGCTTCGTAAACCTTTATTGCTTTTGCACTTTCATGACGATAAGAGGAGTGAGATAGGATGAATGTTATGGTGTCCTGATCCTTGACCTGAAGAGCGCACATTGCGGTCCACACATTCATTACGGCAGTTAATCTCCATGTTAAAGGGGTGGAATCATGTAGAAAACGTGAACTAAACACAATAATCACATGTTGCCCCAGCAGAAGAGTTGTAGTTGAGGTAATCACTTACTTAAATGGTCCCAAAGGTAAATAACCAATGAGAGACCATCTCCATGGTAAACTGTAATTACTTTCCCACATTCTGTAAGATGTTGTGCAACTGAGATCGTCACCAACTTACCTCTTCTTAAGTTCACATCCTTTGGAAAACATGCTGAGCTGAAAGCTGTGGGTATAAAATCAAGTATAAATAATATCTTGCTGTGAAAAATCAAATGTTCCACAATTAACAAATGAGAATAGTGGCTATCTTGGATCCCATTAGAAATTATAGCCAACATATATATTTATAACTCATTTTCTTACTTGTTTTCATTTTCACTGAAAGTTTTAATGAGGGGAATTAGCTCAAATGGTAGAGCACTCGCTGAGTGAGAGGTAGCGGGATTGATGCCTGCATTCTCCAAGTAGTTACATGAAAAGTTTTCAAAGGCCTGATTAACTAAGGATAAAAGGAAGCAGCATGCAGAAACACTGTAAGATGCAAAGTGAATGCTCGAAAATGTCGTTGACATCCTTCTGTACCTACAGAACTATTAGAGGGGAGTGGTTGCCTAGTGGTTAGGGCATAGAGCTTGGAATCGTGAGGTTCTGAGTTTGAACGCCATTCCCACAGTCTGCCACTCTGGCTCCCTGAGCAAAGACCCTTAACCTCCAATTGCTCCCGGGCGCCCCACATTGGCAGCCCACTGCTCTCCAAAAGGGGTGGGTTACATGTAGAGAGTTCATTACGTTGCTTTTGACAGTGTAAAAGCTGGGGAAAAAATAATAATAATGGACAATAATTGAACTATTTCCCGACAGCTGTATGATGGTTAACACCTTTTTCAATCTTGCAGAGTCAATAGGTGAATTATTTATTATACGATATTTACTCCATACTCTTTTTCCACACTGAAACTATGTAAATTACTACAACTACAAAAATTAAGAAAAGAAAAAAACACCAACAGCACCACCGAGAGCAAATGTATTTTCATTATTTTAATATCCCTAAATATACTAATTAACTGCAATTCAATACCAACACCACAAGTTGGGTTTATGTTGATAATAATTTAGTTATTATATCTAATCATGAAATTATTTTACTTCACCCATGCATCCTCTATTTTCTATGTATTATTAAAGCATACATGATGAATAAACTTAGATTTGATTTTTCTCTATTAGGTGTCATGATGTGTTGAATAGTGAATTTGAAACAAATATGGCAAATAAAAAAATAGTAGGAAAAGAAATTTGAAAAATTGGGGAAAATGGTATAGAAAATGTGGGGAACAAAATAATAAATAAAACAGCAGAAAAGGGCAGCATAAATAAACTAGAATATTGGAATTTGTTTGAATTAGGAACTAGAAATGTTTGTCATACAGACCAACTTCTGACTCAGTCAACAGTTTTTTTCTGGCTGAAGAAAATACAGTGATTGAGCTCCCACTGTTGGGTCCTGACGCATGTGCAAACCACTGCTTTAACCCGCAGGGGTGTTTATTTATCCCACTGCAGAAGTTGTGATTGTTTACCCGAGTGTTGACATTATTTCAGCATAAGAAGGCTTAGTTAGATAAATACACCATGACATTCAGCAGACACTGTACAGGTAAGAACAGATTATTAAATACACCTTGGAAGCATTTTAATGTTTGGTGCCTGTTCTTTAGCTGTTTTATACATGATCATATTCAGGCCACTAGAGGGCAGTGTCAGCTAATAAAATTAAGCAGAGTGCAGCTATATGGAATTCCAAAAGTGCCAGAATTCCAAAAATGAATCAGTAGCTCATTACTTTGTCCTTAGTTAATGAAAAGGGAAATACTGTAATGTAGTAAAAATGTTAAAACTGTTTTGTTTTGTTTTTTTTTTTTTACATTTTATTCAAATATTTTATGTATTTCACTACTGTTTTATTTTATATTTGCATCCTTGAATACATTCTTGCACTTAATATATCAGCTTAATTATATATGGTTTTAATATTTTGAGGAATTTTGTATATAAATACTTATCCTTTTAATAAATTACAGGTATATTTTTCTTTACAGTTATTCACCAATTTATTAATGAAATACATTTATCTTCAATTTTTTTTTGGTTCAACCTACATTGAAGAAAATATCTATCTATTTTTAAATTTGCATTTTGGATCTTCAAGTTATGTTTAAAAAAAAAAAACAGAAAAGAAAAAAACATTTTAAACCCGGTCATAGAATGTCACGGTTCAAACCACCACTGAAGCAGCACACATTTACAAAAGGAAAATATCTTTAAAATCCATCTAAAAGTATTTTAATTTTTTTTATTGCTTTCAGAAATAACAGGTTTGCTAAAATATATCCGAAGCTACATACGATTTAAATTTTTCCTTCAGTTCGTGCAGAAAAATGTGCTCTCACAAAAATTTGTTTTCAGTTTTTTTTACTAATAAACAAATGTTTACCTCAGGCTAATAAACTTTAATCAAACTGGTACATTTTTTTAAACAAAAAAGTCACTGAAACACTGAAGATGTTTGACAACCAGATTTTAAATCTAACGGAACGCCATTTATTCAACCGAAATATATGCTATAAAATCCACAGTAAGGCAGCGCATCTACTCCTGACATGAAGGCAACACATAGTGCGCACAGTTCATCACCGGCAGGATACATTAAAAAACAAATGATCCAATGATTTCTTATCTAAATGAAGAGGATCTTCTATCAGCACAGGCTGGATGTAAAGCATCTGTATCTGAGGTTGCACAGGAATCTGATTCAAAGATCAGGATGAAGGTTCTGAAGCAAATCCAGGTGGTTTGGGAACATCTTGGATCAGGAGGCCTTTCGGTTGTCTTGGCAATGCTTGTCAACTTTACACCCTAAGTGCGTTCAATGTAGATTTCCCTTAAAATTGCAAACATTGTAAAACACTGAAAAACTTTGTATCTCAGCTGTTTCTAAGCAAAAGTCCAAGAAAGAGTTTTTGTTTTTTTTAGCAAATACCCTTTCCGGTTTCTCAGATGTAGCAGATGACTTCAAATAACTTGGTATGTAGACGATAACCTTCATCCATTTCTGTTTAATACAGCATGAAAATGTCTAACATTGTGCCAAGACGGCTAGAAAAGCAGCAGCAGGGCTGACAAAGTTCATGACGTTTGCAGATGATGTGATTCTGTTTTTGTCTTTTAACCATGGCACTTGTACACTTGAGACTTGAAGGGGGAATGCTCGTTTTGCATCTGGTTTGAGTCGTCTTTAATCGAGTACGCTAACTGGCCCTCTTTTTTAGCTACACCTTGAATTAGTGCATTAAAAGTAGTTCCTTTTGACAAAAGGCCATATTTAGGAGTGGATCATGTAAATACTGAATATACAGTATATACAATAAAACAACAACTTTCTATTATCTCCAACCTGTTTGCTGGATATATTGTCATGTTTGGAACATTTTCAGTAAACGTTATAGATATCTAAGCAAGGAAATCACAGTAGATCAACAGCAAACAGAATCATGCTAAGTTCAAAGACAAGAAATTCCCTTTCTTTCACTCTCCAAAGCTCAGGTTTAAGCAAGTCTTTTCCACCATATCAAGACGCATAAATGCTTGAAGTTGCAACCGTATAATGAATTCCTTTCTGTGTTAAAAGGCAACTGACCAGTGAAGTGTTGCTGCTAATTGATGGCAGGATACAGCAGGAGATATGTGGGTGAATAAGAGCTTTATGAGTTATCAATAAATCGCTCCATTATGTTTTAGTGCGGGAAGAGCAGAAAGGAGAAACTTAAGATTTTATGGCCCATTTACATCCAACCCCCAGCTACGGTAATGAGATATGGGTAAAGATTAAAAAAAAAAAATGACATCCTCCAAGCAACTGGCTGAAATAAACGATCTGTCGGGTTTCCAGGCGAAGGACAGGAGGGACATTTTTTTGCAAAAATAAAACTCAGGGTTGCAGAGCAGTATGCCTCCTGGACGCCTTAGTTGAAGAAGGGGGGGGGGGGGCTAATGCATACCATAAACTCTGTGGAGAGACTTTATATCCATTCAAGCCTGAGAAAAACTTGGTATCCTTGTGTCACTGAAGATAAGGATGTTATGGACCAGATGTGGAAGACTTTGGATGGATTACAGTCTGCTGCATAGAACTGAAAATGTTCCTTTGAAACTGTACTTACAGTTTAATTCCACATGGTGGCATCAGTGAGCAGTTTCAGCATCATGTGGAGCAAACTTTGTGCATATTAAGTAGTCAAAAAAAGTGTCTCCATTTTCCTCTACTTTCTTTTGAGGGTTATGCTCTGGGTTTGATGATGGGCTGTCTGCTACTGTACTGGTCCTTGGAGCTGGTTTCCTGACAGCTGCTGTCGAACAGTAAGCTTTGAGCCAGCAGCATCGCCCAGCTTTCTCCAAACCACCTGCCAGGCAGAAAGTACAGCTGTTGGAATTCAGTGGGAGGCAAGTAGAAATCAAATCGCACAGAGAAGAGGGTGTGATTGATCACTAAGTCATCAAACTATTTTCCAAGGAATAGAGACGCTAACCTTGTTACACCTAAAGGTTCAAAGCTTTTCATTACATCAAGTCTTCATACCATCCGATTTTTTTTTTGCTTTTTTTTTTGCATCTGAGGTCATGTTCATCTAACGGATCTTACGTTGCACATCTCCCTGACGATGGCTTTCTCCTTCTCATTGAGGTCTTCATCATGTTCCCTTGAGCTCTGGCCATCCAGCTTCTCATGAACCTCCAGCACCTAAACACACTTATAGTCAATGACGTATCGATGAAGCTGTTCTTCACAAGCTGTAAGCGTAAGACCTTACCTTCATGGCATGGACGACAGCTTCAGGTTTCTGTCCCAGAGGAAGGTAGAAGCCTGTGGGGGACATTTCTCCACTGGAGTTCTGAGGATGGTTCTGGTGAGGACAAAGAAAGGATCAAAATTTAACCCAACATGAGGAAAATATGTCTAACTGTTGGCAACAAGTAGAGAGGAAAGAAACCGCAAGCATAACCTTAACTGAAGTCAGAGACACACAATGATTTTTATTAAAATGTACCAGAACTTACAGGAAGAAGAAAGCTACCCTAAAAGGAAGAAGCTGATCTGATGAAGCAGCTTGTAACAGGAAACCTGCTGTGTTTGCATTAACTGGCAAGAAACAGTCAGCTGATTGGTCTCATCAATAGGTCATAATGTTCTTCAATAGAAATCAGATCCCAGCCTGAGGTGTTGGCCTGTCCCAGACCACATCTGGGTTGAGCGGCACAAGGCGCTGAAAGTTTTCACAACTTTTCAAAAAGAATGACTGTTTGCACCCTAGTTAGAATATAAGAATGCTTGATTTAAGTACAAGCCATTGTAAAAACAAAGATTTCTCTCCAATCAAAACTATATCAGAAAATATTGCAGACTTTCAAATCAGCTGCAGGATCATTACAGAAAGTCTTTGTGTTCAGTTAAATAAAACAAAAGTTTGCATTTAAATTGGATCATTATTTGATTAATTCAGAGTAAATCAGTTTTGCTAATGGTTCGTGGTACAGTCAACAAGCTAAACAAGCCACCTTTTTAACCGAGACTGTCTAAAGAGCTATTTACCCAAGAGAGGATGTTTAATTGGTTCACTTTGACCCTGCAGAAATTACCCCAATTCAGCAAAGAGAGCAGCTAAAGTTGGTTAGCTACAACTTTAATCAGATTTGTTTTCTATAAAAGCAACCCAATGAAAATAGGTCCATAATAAAAAAAGATGCATTTATACAACAAATTGACGTTATATGTCATGTCTGCAAAGATGATACAGGTCTTTACAAACTAATGCATGTGTTTTAATTATGAAATTATGCTTTATAATTAAAACCCTTTGAAAGCGGCCTGCAGAAAAAAACATCAATTAAATAATCTATAAAATAAAAGTGTGAATTACCTGCATCACCAGCAGTTTGTTTTCATCCTCCAAGATCCTCACCTTGTTTTCCAGCTCTCTTATGTAGCAATCTGATACATCTAGAAAATAAACCCAGACATATTACATTAGTTCTGATTTTGTTGATGCTTTTTAATTCCAGCTTGGTGTAAACAACCAAAGGCCTCATTTTGCTTCATCTTCTGCCAGTTTCCTTCCCATAATGCATGTTTTCTAAATGTTGGAACCCACACAAAATGATCCGCAAACACAGCTGAGAACCACATTGTTGATTTTTGTAAAAGAGATTCCAGTTAATCCAACTAATCCTGGAGCAAAATCACAGTATTTACCAGGACCCAACCCCAGTGTTCGAATGCATGTGCTGATTTCGAAGCACGTTTCCAGCAACGTGGAGGAATTTCTGGCTGAAAAGATCTACTTAGTTTGTCAGTGAATGAGGGAATGAAACCTGTTTGATCAACTTTCACCTACAATAAAAAATGCATAACCACAATCGTTTTGAAGGTATGTTTTTGATTAGAAATTAAAAATTGGGATCCTAAGCAGATGTTTTTGAGTTGCCACCATATATGATGTTGTTGCTGAAGGGCACGGCTAACTCACATGTTGTTCGCTAATATCTGTCTGACAGATCCTTTTCCTGTCAAGAGTAATTGCAACTTTGGGTGTTCCAGGATGAGTCTCTGCAAGTTTGACCTGAAAGATTAACTTAAGAATAAGGAAAAGTTGGTCTGAAAATCAGGATCCGTCTGCACAAAAAAGAACTTGAAATGAATAGATTAAAGGCATTTAGACATAATAATAGTCAACACAACAGCACAATAGAGTGTTAAATATATAAAAAAAGAATAAATAATGATAAAGTACATTTACAATGTACATTAACACTAACCATTGAGTAAAAGCTCTTGTAAAACTCTGTGTAATAGAACAAAACATAATGATCGTTTTAAATCATTTTAATTGTTAATGTTGTAAATTAAATGAACAGGTCGATCCTGGGCACATATGACACACTGTATCAAGAAATAAAAAGTTTTAATAGTTTCAAAAAAGTGCATAATAATGAAATCAAAATAAAAAGATGTATGGTTTTTAGATCTATTCACTAAGAATATATATATACCTAAATACTATTTGTTTTAAATGGCTGACTATAGAGGTATTATTTGTGCTCACTGGCCTTGATAAAAGATTGGAAGAGAAAAGCCCCCTGTGCAGTTTGCCATAAGCCATGTCGGATGCAGAGCAAACAACTGTACATCTCCCTGAGAACACAGTCCCCCCTCCCGGTGTCACCCGATAAAGGCAGTCTATTATGATTCTCCCCTTTTGGACTTCTTTTTGAGTTTATTTTTGATATTTCACTTATTTATCTCATTCTGTTTTGTTGGTCACTGGTTTATTTTCCATCTTGTGAAAAGAAACCAAACTAACTACCATCTCTGTTGGATAATGTCTGCCACCCCATGCATGAAGCTGTTGCAAAGCTAGAGAGCTCCTTCAGTGACAGACTACTGCACCCTAAATGCACCAGGGAGGGTTATCACAGATCCTTCCTCCCAGCAGCTGAGACTTTATAACTACCTACCCAAAAAACTAAATAAGTTGTTACATTCATGCTGATTTTGCACAGTTTCTATCTTAGTCAGTTAAATATCATGCTGCTGTCATTTTGCACATCTCTGATGTTGCTGCTATTTTCTAATATCCATTACTGTGAAAATGTCCATAGCTGCATATTGGTCATTTATTCTCCAGGTGCATACAGTATAACTTCTATTGTGAAAACCCTTTACAGTACAGTATTTTATTGTTTATTTGTAACTCTTTACCTTTATGTGACAATTTTTTATATACCGGTAATCTTTTTGCTGCTGTAAACACCAGAATTTCCCCATTGTGGGACAATAAAGGGATTTTCTATTCTATTCTATTTTCAAGCTGGGTTGCATTTCTTGAGTTATTCTCTGTTTCCCCCTTGTGCTAGTCTCCTTTCTACTTGGCTCCCTTCTAGTTACTTCTATCCACACCTGCTCCACATTAGCTCATTAGCCCATTCTTTGTTCTGTTTCCAATATATATGCCTCCTCTGCAGGTCATCATTGCTGGTTTCTCGTTGTTACTTGGCTACCTTATATGTGTTTTCCCCTCAAGTCTCCTGGTTTTTGATTTCCTGTATTTTGTTCTTGGATGTTGTTTCTGTTGCCTGTCTGACTTCATTAAACCTGCAAGAACTCACCTCTGCCTGCCTCATCTCTGCATTTGGGTCCTAAATCAACCTCCACCCTATGTTTACAGAATCATTTTTTCCTCAGCAGAGACGATCAAATCCCAGAGTTGAATATAATGGAAGATTCCAAAGGAATACATTTAGGTCTGCAGTATTAAAATGAGAACGTCAACACTGCTATATAACGTGGCCTGAAGAAAAGCTCACATCATCAGCCTGTTCTGACCAACTGATTTGCAGCAGAGAGACTTTTTCCTGGAGTCACTGAAAGCTGTTCTGAACACAAACATCAGCTGAGACTGCAGATTTATCTGGGAAAATGCAATATGGTTCCACACCCACTTTGCAGTAACATGATGCCACAATTCAATTCTTGCCATGTAAACAGACTTTCATAAATCTATTTTCATCAAGCACGACAGGAGTGAATTACGTGAGAGGCCTGGCTCGGTGCTGGTAACTCCTGGAACAGAAAAACAAAATAACTCATTCAGTCTTTAGCAGATTAGTTTCAGATTGGATGAGCAGGGTTGGTTGTGCGCTGGGCTGAGGTATCATCAGGTTGTTGATTTGTTCCCCTGTATACAATCACAGCTAACATCCTGGGAGATGTAGTCAAAGTCACTGCTGCAGAGAAACTGCTGACCTCACGTGCAAACACCAGACCAGACAGTGCTGACAAAATAAAACAGAGGGCATCCTTCAATTACAGACGGTCAGCACAGATCCAGTTAGCCTTCCGGAGCCAATGTGTCTCCTCATAAAGACGCAACCTCGTTTTTAACCTGCTTCACTTTCCCTTTAAAGCAGAAGACTTCCATCACTGCATGGCAGCTGGTGCAGCAACAATGAATAATAGTCTCATGTTAAATTTAATTAAAGCCCCTGGTGTTTTTGGTCAACTATTCAAATGTAAGATGGAGGTTAAATGTCAAAGTATCTGAAGCTTAAAGTTCTGTCAGAATGGATGAAAACAGGCTGATAATGTCTCACATCATACAAATACACAAATGTATGTATGTTTAAATACTAACAATATTTATCATACATCTGATAGGATAAAAAAAAATACAATATTGGTAAAAAACAGTTGAAAATATATAATCTAAGTTATTTGTTTTAGCAGGATGTTTTAGGACATAATGTCAACATTGGACAGTCGAGTTAAAACTGCTCAAAAGTTCAGATTCAATGTTTTCTTAAGTAACTAACATGCTATTTAAACACTTCTAAAAAAGCCACCCTCATGGCCGTCCCTAACCAGTTGATTTCTTGTTCTTATGTTAGCACAATTTACCAGCCCTGGAATGTGCAGTTCTCCTGTAAACCAGGGGGTGGCACCAGTTAATTTACTAATTACTCTTATTTAAAATTCCAATTGTTACTATAGCAACCATAAACTGAAACTATCTAACATTAAACATGACAAATACAGAAATCTCCTTTCAGAACTAGTATTTATGGGGAGAAAGGAAAGTTATACGTCTCAGCAGGTCATCTAAGAGTCTTCAATGTAATTAAAGAACAAAAGCTCAAACTATTTAATGCATATGATTAATTCTATTGATGGTTATATGGTGATTAATTTATACAGCATACGTTAATAAATCAGTGTCTATATTAATAAGCAAGGTCTTAATAAAAATTATTTTTTTTGATAATTTGGATGTTATGCACGTTTATTTTCCTGTTGGTACAGCATAGATCAACCCTGAACTGGTTTAGTCTCCTATTGGTTTTCAGCCACCCTGCCGTTTACATTGGACCCTGCCTGGCCACCCTTTGAATATTTTCTGACTCCGCCTACTGCATCCAATAGGAAAAACTTACTCAACTCAGCTGGAAAACATTTATTTACTGAACAGAGATGTTTAGAGATTTAATTTAATCTGTGAGTAAAAACAGTTGAAAAGCTATTCATAAACAGAATAGAGGAATTCTCAATTTTCTTTGAAATATTGGAAAATGTAATTTTTTTGTGAGCCCATTATTGTACAATCTTGCCCAATGATCTGGGTGCAATGTTTCCTCCTTAATCTTTAAAATATAAAATAAACCATGGAGCTAAACTATGAAATCTCTTTGAGAACAGCGGTTTCAGAAAAGCCACAAGGTTTGTTTCTAAATCCAACCATGCGATCAAAAAAATCAAATAAATCTAACTAACTGTTGGAAAACAAGAGCAATATTAAAGCAAAACATATTATTGGTTTAACGGACAGATTAAGTGGATTTAAAATGATGAACGAGTGGTTTAACTCCCCAGCCTGTAAACATGTTTGGACTGGTTAAACTGGTAGTGGCTGATTTTTGACACAGTTCATCTCTGTAACCGAATGGGCCACCTGGAATATTAACATTTTGGAAACATTATCACACATTAAGATAGTTGCACGAGGATTTTTATCATGAGATTAAGGTTTCTTAGAATAAAAAAAAAAATGTCAAGACCTATTTAGAGAAGAAATTATTTCTTAAAATAAACTGTGTTCTGTTAGTTTTAAACTCATCAATCTTTTAAAATGACTGTATTCCTCGCTTTTATTGCAGAAAATATTTCAATGTTTATTTGAATTTTTGCACGGGTATCTTTTGCAGTGTCTGCCTCCGCTGCCTTGCAACAAGAATTTCTTTAGTTCAAATCCCACTCAGAGGTCTTTATGCATGAAGTTTGCATGTTTCCCATTGAACATGATGATTAACCAATTAATTTGAGTTGCACTAATGCATAAGTGTGTTTCCTGTCTTTTTTTCGATTTCAATTTTTTTCAATTTCAATTCAGTTTATTTATATAGCGCCAATTCACGACACATGTCATCTCAAGGCACTTTTCAACCAGACCA